CAGTACCCCTCCCCTAACGATCGTCTCCTGACGATCAACAAGGAGAGGCACGGAACAAGGGAAGACAGGACAAAACAAACTCAAGGACAAAACACGGAAGTCCATGGGAAACAACAGTCATCCCACACAGGCCAAGAGTCCAGGGGGACGACCAGGAAACCACCCATGGCGAGACCTGGCAGGAGCAGACGCAGAGCCGCAGGAGGAGGCAGGAGCAGATGCGGACCCCCAGGAGGAGGCGGAGGCAGACGTGGAGCCAAGGGAGGAGGCGGAGGCAGACGTGGAGCCAAGGGAGGTGGCGGGAGCGGGCGTGGAGCCAAGGGAGGTGGCGGGAGCAGGCGTGGAGCCAAGGGAGGAGGCGGGAGCAGACGTGGAGCCAAGGGAGGAGGCGGGAGCAGACGTGGAGCCAAGGGAGGAGGCGGGAGCAGACGTGGAGCCAAGGGAGGAGGCGGGAGCAGATGAGGAGCCAAGGGAGGAGGCGGGAGCAGATGAGGAGCCGTCGGAGGTTGATGGAGCAGGAGCCTCGGTGACGGCAAACACAGGCGACAGAGGGGACAAAGAGGCGACGGCAGCCAACCCAGGCAACATGGAGGCGACGGCAGCCGACATGGAGGCGCAATCAGACCCAGGGCCACCGCAGGAAAAAAAAATTCCATAACCCTCCTGGTACTGGAAACAAACAAATAAAAAAAAAAACCTCACCTCAGTCTGCTGGGGTTCAGGTGTGGTCAGATCCTTCTGATAAGAATTGGCTTGGTTGGTTTGAACCCCAAAATGCAGGACTGAGTGAGTGTGGCAAAAAGGTGATTTAATAAAACAAAAACAAAAGTGCTGGCGTGGCAGCAAACAATAACAAAGGGCATGGGCAGGAACAAGAACAAGAACAAGAACAAGAACAAGAATATCAAACTGCGAACAAATAACATGAGAACAGCAAACAAGGATCTGACACCAGACTGAGACAAGACAGGACTTAAATACACTGACAACTAATGGATGAACTGAAAACACCTGGTGAGAAACACGAGGGTGACAAATCAGACTAATAAGGAGCAGCTGGGCTGAGACACACTGGGGAACATAGAAACACTAGGAAAACCAAGGTGAAAACTGACAAATCATGACAGTGCACATATGTCAACAGCGTGATGTCTGACTTCACCACACTGCCATGACCATGCCTTTCACTAAAAAGTCTTTGTGCTTGAAAGCAAGATCAACTTATTATCTGTGTTCTGACATAATTTGTTGCAGTTTAGGTCAAAAGGGTCAGAGACTAAGCTTTCCGAGCCTCGGCAAAGGGGGACAAAAATGCTGCACCAAAGCAGCCGGCAAGAGGACACTTTAAATTTGAAAACTGAACTAAAAAAACATGTCCGATCATTATTTAATTGCTCTGATTGCAGAACAACTTCAGAATAGAATGTTAGCATGTAGCATCCATATTTAGCTACTTTTGTAAACTGCATGCTGTATATGACGTCACGTCAATTTCTGCGCATGCGGGTCGCACCAGTGCTGTGGAGAGTTCATACTGTAGTCTGGAGGAGGTCGCATTCAAAATATAATGTGAACATCTACGTAAAAAAATTGAATTTTTGCAAAAAAAAAAAATCTGAATTGAGCACTGAGACTGGCAGTGTAAACATAGCCAATAATTGGCCAAAAATAAATAATCATTCTATAAATATACTGTAAAATGCATTTGTGGGTTGAGCAGCAGAATTCAGAATGTGAGTTACATCCATAAAAAACTTTATTTACAGAGTCATCAATAGCACGTGGAAGAACCCTATACAGTTTCAACATCCTCAACTGTTCAACTGGAAACTCCCTTCCAACAAACTGAAGTAAACTAAAGTTTTTTGATGGACACACTCTCTCCAGTGTGGTTTAAAAAAAGATGCTAATTTGAGTTTACATTAAATATAATAAAAGCAAAGCCTCTTGCATAATTCTATTTGAGACTAAATGTGGCATACAAGCTGACAACTCGTTCCTTCCATGTAAACAAGAGATTCATGCTTGCAGTCATTTGTTGCAAACGGTCACACCTCTGTGAATCTCTCCATCTTGTGTCTTCACCTGTTCATCATCCCTGATTAAGAATTATAATCACCATCCATCTGTTGTTGAGCAAACATCACATGAGTGATACCTGCCAAATTCGCTTGGCGAGACGTCACCTTCAGCTGAGAGGCTGAGTGAACAGCTGAGAGTGCGCCGGTGTTTTCACGCCAGCGTTGTTCACCGGCCTCAACCGTGCCACTGCTGCACATCTGCTTTTGTTTGGATCTTTTTCAKCCTCCTCCTTCTATCCCCGCCTTTATCCTTCCTGCACCTTGCTAAACCTCTGCGGTACACACATACAGTACACACACATGCAGTTTTGATGTAAAAGCAGTGATTTAATTATTATTTTCAAACATCTGCTCATAGATTTGTTTGGAAGATTGATTCTATACAGTCTCTCGTGGCTTAACCAAAACCATTTCTGTTTCACATCAAGTCAATTGAGGCCTGGTTTGAGCATTCAAAAAGCACATAATAGATGGTGTGTCATGCTGTATTTGTGATTAAACTGTTTTTTTTTTCAATGAACTGTACAAAAGAGCAAAAAAAACCTAATAAATAAAGTTGCCCTGCCTGCCAAAGTATGAGCAATGCATTTTTGTCTCATTTAAGTTAAAAATTTACCAAAATATTTTATTTGATAAAAGCTGTTTTTTTTTCTTTCTCATTTTGTCACAGGAACCCAGATAAAGGCCTCCAGTTCCTGATCTCTCGAGGCTTCATCCCAGACACGCCCATTGGTGTAGCTCACTTCCTGCTACAGAGGAAGGGCCTGAGCCGACAGATGATTGGAGAATTCCTTGGAAACAGCAAGAAGCCGTTCAACAAAGACGTCCTGGAGTGAGTGGTGCACATTATTTCCTGGATTTTTTAAAATGAATATCTTATTTCAGACTGATCAGCTGAAAGCAGGATGTTGCAGCATTGACCCCTTTTAATTACGAGCAAAGCACAAGTTCTACTTTTTCTTTTGTTTTAAATATGGTTAGAATTTACATAAAATGCTCCATAAAGTTACATTTTTAACTTTAGGAACTATTTATTTATCTTTTTATTTAGTCAAAACACTGGTTATAAGCTGAGACAGAACTTTCACTTAATTTTAATAGGTTTTTTTCCCTCTTTAATCCTTTAAAAAATAGATCGAGATGATGCACCTTTGCAGAATCCTGATTTAGTTCTTTAGTTTAGCATTTAAAAAATGAGCAAATAAAATAAAATACCATTCTTTGTTTCTGTCAGCTATGCATAAAACCCCAGAAATCTGCAGCAACAAACTCTCCTGCTGCTCCTGACATGGTTACCGATGTGCAAATAATAATAATAATAATAAAAACACAACACTGCATGTATAATATGCATAATGGGAAACACTGAGTGTGTTGTTGTGTGAATGAGAAAGATATTGTAAAGCACTTTGTAAAATTAGACAAGGTCAAACAGCATATTACTGGAACACTTTTCTGCTTTAAAAATCAATACTTTATTTTGATATGGCTAATTGAATCTAATATAAAGCAAGAACGTCTGAGTGGAAATTACAGAGAAAGAGCAGCTTGTTGCACAACACAAAGAGCAACAAATGTTGATTAGCTACAACCTCTCAGCTTTCCAGCTTGTTATAAAGTTGGACATAAGAYCCAACAGGAAAAGGCCACTGCTAACTTTAGCTTATAGGCCAGACGCCTAATGAGCCACAGCACATTAAACAGCACRTGTGTGAAAATGTCACTGTGGCTTGCTTTGCTTCTGCGGTGGTCCATCATTTTCAAACACTGTCCTCGCATTGGATGGAGGGAGACAGTGAGACGTGCATGGGCTACAGCACAAGTATGTTTGCTGTGTCTCTCTGTCCCCGCGCCGCAGCAGYGCTCTGACAGGCRGCCAGCTGCTGTCAGTCAAACTCACAAACAACAGGAAGAACACGGGAAAAAAGATGTTCAGACTTATTTTCCAAAAATCTTTTTATCTCTATAAACTGTTCATGAAATTGTTATTTTTAAGCTGCTTAAGCTGTAATATAAAGTTCCTAATAACTTCAGTGGTGCTGTTTCCAAATAACACAACATTATTGTATTATACTACATAATACTATAGTAATAGTAGTAATAATTAAGAGAGACGTCCCACTCAGAGTATGTTGTGAATGACTCTCAGCTACTACCACATCAGCTTTACCGGACAAGGTCAGAGATCGTTCAATGGCATGAGTCATTAAATAAATGTGGTCCTCACATTTATTCAATGACTCACATCAGCTGGTGTGTGTGTGTTCCTGTGTACATGTGTGTAATTCCAGATCACTGGCCTGATTGTTTCTGTAAATCCCCCACCACCTCCCGACCGCCCAACCATCATTTATATCTCCACCGTTTTTGTCCTTATAAGTCAAAAACATTCTCCTTTTCACTAAAACCTTTGAATTTGCATAACAGCTCTCTACAGTTTTTTYYTTYYTYTYTTTTTTCTTACTTCAYTATTCAAAATTTGTTACCAAACCGGGACCAATGTTCTAGTGCTTGCAGGAAGGGAACGAACACGGCAAAGCACTCAGCCTCRTCTAACATCCATATCTTCTTAAAGAGACGTCGTGGAGGTTCCAAAACACGGTTTTATTAACAAGATTATGCTCTCAAGKCTTCATACATCTATTCACGGTGCAGATATTTTCATATCACGAGTGACGTGAGGGGGTTGGGGGGGCGGAGGGGTAGCGACGCTGAAGAGGAGCGTGATCGGAGAGTGCAAAGTGTTTGTGAGAGCGCATCCTATAAAGTGTAGTCACAGTGAAGTGGGTGACGGATTGCAGTGTATTGTGAAGATCACTCATGGTGATTTACTGTGAACACGTGTGTGTGTTTGTGTAGCCCCGTAACTGTGTGAATGTGTCACTTTCATTCCTTCAAGAATAAACAACCATAGTTAAAACACCTCGAGTCAATTACTTCGAAGTGTGCTTCCAGATTTGGGCCTCAGGAAACTCGAGGACGATTTCAAAACATTTTGGTTTTGATTTGCATAAAACAACCAAAACTCCTTGTGTTTGTTGCCTCCTTATGGATTCATACAAGCTTATGCATCTGTTTTTATTTTCATGTACACGAAGAAAGATTTGTCTGTTTCCCTGCCAGTTACTGCATACCTATATGACGATGTGTGTGTTCATTCATGTTACAAAGTGAGGCGGAGAACAAGGAAGAGAAGCAAAAGGGCTGATGTWCTTGGGCTAGAGAGCATGATGTCTGATGTTACATAAACAAGGAGTGACAGGCAGGAGAGAAGGCAGAGAGGAAGTGAGTCATAAAGAGGCAGATCGGAGTCAAGAGAGGTGATCGAGTCCAGTTCAATGTGTACTACAGCTTAACCTTTAAAAGCATCTGCATGTTACATGTAGGTCCAAGCACTCATGAGCTGATCATCTGAACACGTTGCAGAAGGACTTTTAGTCAAAAGAGTTGCAAAAAAAAAAGGTCTGCATGATGCCATCTTGACTTCAGGAAGGTCACATTTAAAAAAAAAGAATGCTATTCATTATCCCCACTTATCAAAAGTAACACTTTTTTTTTAGTTTGGGAAGAAATATTGTGTTGAAATATTATTTTTAAAGTAGATAATCATTAAATAAATAAATAAATAAATAGCAATATTTAACTAGAAAAATTCCGAAATTCTAACACCAAGTTTGATCAATTTTAAACTAAATATATGCCTACATTTTGATGTTTGAACTCTATAAGTAGTGTAAAAAAGGGAACCAAGTTGGTCAATAAGATCACCATAGTAACCACACACTTGTATCTGTTACTCCCTGACAGCCAAATTAAATTGCGTTTAACAAACTGTTGTGCAAAAACTACATCCAATATAGAAAATTGCTGACATTTCAGCAATTATTGCACACTTTCTGTAAATCATATAAACTTCATTTCACTTCTCAAATATCACTGTGTTTGTCCCCTATGTGATATATTTTACTGATTAATTTTTTATCCAAACAATCAAGGTAAGTCAGGAAAATTAACAAGGCTGCCCAAACATTCGCACTCCACTGTATTTTAGGCCAGTGATCTTTAAAGTGGGGGCAACAGCCCTCTGCGGGTGCCACCAGGGGGCACCAGGGAGGCCTCAGAAAGCTGGAAGGAAGATGAGAAAAAAATCTGCAAAAAATATATACAGTATATATATCCATCCATCCATCCATCCATTTTCTGTACACGCTTCTTCCTTTTCAGGGTTGCGTGGATGTGT